AATGTTCGTTTCGGAAACATTTACTGGAATATGTTTTTTCTTTGATCGAAGATGAGCAACATATCATGAAAGCTGAGGTGGATATTCTCATGGCCATGTATCTGGTCAAGAAAGCTTGGGTGTCTGTTTCTAATCTGCGAAATTTTTTTTTGCTATTCTGTGGGGCACTGACCTGAAATGTGAGGCACTCGAATGTGGTCATTTTTTCTACAGTGGTCACCAAAGCCGCGGTCATTCGGTCTATCGATGGGCCCTGTAGCATTAACGGGTGAACGATATTCGCGATTGACTGTTAAGCGGGTGAGTGGAGTGAGATATCAGATCCGAACGTCACGCGGACGCGCCTGTATGAATGAATGAACGATACTCTCACTTGGCCTAGAGCGCCGATTAAATTAGACAGGTCACCTGCCAAAGGTCATCGTAACCCGGGTCTAAGGGGAGTTTGTGAGATGCACTTTTAGCTTGTGGTGATTCTCTGCCAACAGTATCATATTCGGAATCTGTCCTCCTGTGCCGGCCCGAAAATCACACGACCGATCGGGTTCATTTATAGATCGGTCGAATGGTTCAGCCGCAACAAGGTGGTGCTTGCTCAGCTAACCCGAGCGAGAAACCACACCACACATAAGAGAAGCAAACGAACGAATAAATGTCTACAGAGGTTAATGATGCACATTTTTCAATAGAAAATCATGAATAGATTGCACAACGAACAATCAGTATGAATATGGGAAATAAATCCATGTTCTGAGTATACTTCGTAACAGATATTTCACTCGTTTTAGATGTCATTTCCCGCTCAGTTTATTCGAACTGGTTCATTTTTATTTTCCTCGAATGGGTTAATATTGGTGTGATTATTATAGATAAAACAGTTGTACATTATGGTGGAAGTCATATGATCAATTCTGTGGTTAGCCTAACGTTGCAACAGAATGGAGGAATATGTGGAATTAATATGGGATAATTGGGTCAGAAAAGGTTCCCCTGAAGAAAGGTTGGTAGATTCGAGATAATCAGACACAGAATTGGAAAGGTCTGAATGCCGGATGCAATGTACCGGCTGAGGGCGTCCTAAAATATTCAAATTTCTGCGATATATACAAGCTACGCAGGACGGTAGATCTAAATTCCGTTATAAATAAAGAGTTTATAATCGTAGTTATTGTGAACAACTAACGGGATTAACCTACTTTTCATCGATCCGGTTTATTTTATCACAAAACTGTCAACCGATTTTTATACTACTTATTAGTACCTACTACTGGTGACCCTGCTATGTCGCAGTTCCTGATATTTACCCACTTTTTCGAATTCCCGAGGGGTGCGACATAGTAGGAGATTGATTGTATTTATTTATTTACACAGCAATCGTGTATAGACTGTCACGATGTGCGTGCAGTGTTTGATTGTAAGGTAAACATTTGGTTGTGATCACTTGGAGAGTTTAGAATTCAAGGGTTACCTCATGGTTTTGAGATCATTCATATAAAATTGCAGAAGGTAATTGAAGTGATAAACAAAACCCTTATTCCAGGTTAGTAATCCATAAGATCAAACAATACCATAAACACGGTGTGAAGTTTTATAATTCTTATATGATATATTTATATATATTATTTAATTATAATTATACGAATTTCCGTATAGGGAAACGGGTAAAACCTCTATTGCTGACTGAAATAGCGTTGGAGTCGATTTCTCGTGCAAGCTTTAATTGAATCCCATTAGCCATCCTTTACATTTGATGTTGCGGGGTCTCTAGCGAAGTAAATTTGATCCCATTCGATTCCAAACCCAGAGACCAGTACCATGATAGGTAGACTAAACGAAGAGTTATGTTTGATATTTTACGTACGCACCAAGTAAAATCGCTCAATCAGCTGTTCACTGATTAAGTATACAGCAGAACGGCCTACTAGCTGCGTTCCCGAGCTAAACCCCTTAGAGATACAGTGGGTTCACACCGCTGGTTGGACCCAGCAAAGTTGAAACAATTATTCATCTTGTTTACATTTCCTGTTGCATAGTACATTAAAACTTTTATTTCATGACTTTATCACTGTAATTGAGATAAAACAAAGTTTTTATGTAAAAAATAGCGTCACAAAAGGAATCTTTATGTGTTTAGAGACACAATGGAAATTGTCGATAATTTGGGGAGTAATCGGTAAACTGAGTATTGTTTTATGACTTGTTATCGATCATCATTTGCATTCAGTCATGCAAACATATCGTAGTTGGTGATGGCTAGAACAGTTGAATGCTATCAGGAGCGTCTCTGGGCCCCAGATAGAACAACCCATTGATTAACAGTGAATCGGTGAGCCTGTCGCGTTAATAAGTGGTCCAGGATAGTCAGTGACGATTCTTGACACAGTGGGTATTTTCGGTTAGAGCGGTAACTCTAAAAGACAACGTTCTGCCGATGACGATTTGATTTGAACCACTGCACCTCGCTAGTCAATAAAATCGTTGATACATGGACGAGTTAGTCGTTCTGGATCGAAGGCATCCATGGGAAGGGTGAATGAGTCATAGATATGGTCAGCGTCTCCCAACAACTTTAATTTCCCGCTACCGTGCAACTGATTGTGTATAGGTCAGATTTATACCCTCGCAATAGCTGATGGGGAATCTTTATGGATTAATCTATGACAGATTCGGCCATCGATGTCACGGTGTTTTCGTGAAGCATCGTGCCCCACCCTCTGCCAGGGTCTAGGGTGTTAATTGAGCAAGCTAAAACCTCAACATTGGAGGCTTTGTTCACACTGCTAGCTGGAATTTCGGAAAACAGCTCTACACTGATCGCCAATGCATTACCGCATCTTTCTAGTACAAATTCAGTATCAATATGGCTTTTCCATCAGAGGTACAGATACGTAATTTGGGCTGTATGTAAATTAAAATACCTTAGTCTAATGGAGTCTATTGGTTTTATTATGGCTCTGACTCTGGTCTCGTTGGAGTAACTCTCCAGTTGTCCGATGGGGAGGAGATTAAATCTTGGATACTACTCTCCAAATTTCTGCAGAATGGAATGAAACACTGAGCAAATTCTCACGACCTCACTTGTTTCGTTGAAATACTACTAGCTCAGTTAGAAATGATGTCACAGTATACTGGAAGATTAATGCTGATCACATGGAAGATGCAGGAGTTCGGACTGGTTTATTTGAGCTTTTTCAATTTATATGAACCTTTTTGGATGGGAATAAATCACTCAAAACACTACGAGCCTCAAAGCACCACTCGGTGCCAGAGAATCAGAAAAACTACTTTGTTTGAACAATTATATAAGTTAATGAATCGGTTTTCGCTACCCTTCAGTAAAAGAATACCAAATTGACTGTGATTCATCCAGTCGGCTAGAAATATCCTTTGCTGTTAAATCCTCTTCAGAATAAAAAAAGAATGAGAGGAGGATAGCTTACAGCCCACTAACCGGTATCAATACAGGAGACAAGTCAAATGGTGAAATTACCGAGGACGGAGCTTAACCTGCAAAGATATCAAACTGCTTCTCTACCAACTCGCTGTGGCCACAGACAAGATCACTTGTCCAAACCAGGAAGAATTCCGTCACGAAAGCGATCGCATCGTGCAGATCTTATATATCTCCTTAAAGTACCGAAATCCTGGAACACTTTCAAAAACCGACATCAGTGTGTTTTAACGACTTCCCTGAACTCGGTAAACAGGGACTGTCTTTTAGGAATCTTGAGCATGAACAACGAGAGAAAAAATAATCAACATCCTAAAGTTATACTGAACAGATATTTGGGTGCATTTCCTCACCAACTAAGGAAAGTAAGCGGAATTTAGCCTGAGCTCACAGTTTGACAAGACTATCGGCTTTCATTCGAGCTTTCTAATTTCTTCGCATAATTCGATATGCATCAGCCGGATCTAGTTAAGTTCAAACAAGCCCACACACGAGGATTACTTATCTTGAATTTGTGGTCTATATAGTCCTTCATCCTTCGGGAGTTTTCTTCCACGCGGTGAGTATTTGTCGTCCTCACCAGCGAGCTAGCAAAAGACAACGGATTTAAAATAAATACATCGAAATCATTCCCTACATCTTCGAAGCTCCTAACACATCCACTAAATATAATTGAATACCCTGTGGTGCAGGGAACGGTCAAACAGAGGAGAAAATCAAATGTCACGTAGAGTGTACCAAGAGAGCAGCTTTGCAAGACATTATAGTCACGCGGTTAAATATGCTTTCGCATATAGATGGATGCAGATCTTTTTTTGTCTTTTTGTCTCACTTCAATATATTGAGTATACATTGACACAATTTTCAAGGGGGAGGATACAGTCAACCAAAAGGCTGTCATAAAACACAGCTAATGGCATGATAGTGAGATTCCAACACTTCCTAGGAGAGGGCCGGGATAATCTAGCGATATTTAACGCTAGACCACCACCACCGCCCAATATTAAACCAGTGCTCACCTACAATGATGAAATATGGTCGACGCTAGTTGATGACATCCGCACATTGTAGGTTTTTGACTGCTGGTGATTAATCATCATCTCGAAAGTACGATTACAAAAACCGGATCTCTAACAATTAAAAACAAGCAATAGCGTCACATTCTCCGTCTACCAAAAATTGAACCAACACGGCTCAACCTTCACCGAAAGCGTTGCATCTAATAGTGCTGTCATTTGTCAGGCGAAAATTATAGACCCAATAGACAAAAACATTGCATTCATTCAAAGTACCAACTTCGAATAAAATAGTTTGATGTATCATTCCTTCACTTATGAGCAGAGTTCTCTTCCCACCGCCTAATTTTCGTGTTTTCATCCAGTAAGGGGAAATCCAATTACGTTTTAGTAACGTTTAACATACTAGCATGTAAGGAACCGTTTACAAGAACAACTATATGCCATGTGAAAAATTTTCTGAATTTGAGTTTCTATCCAAGATGCCTCAATCAAAAATGTGGCTTGCACTTTCTGGTGATTACAACTAACCGATTAACCAAAGTGGGTATAACAAGAAATAAACTAACTTTGTCGATCAAATCCCCTATCAGACCAGACCAAGATTTGTTTTCCTCCTGCGTTCCAAACAGACCGTCACTGGAGAGGACAACTTTGTATCTGAAACAAATATTTGCAGCGTAAGATAAATAACAGCAATGATTCGCACATTGTGATTCGACTTCTAGTCAGTAGCCGATAGGAAGAACAATCAAAAATGACTTTTGCAGGACATAAATGTACCTGCACACCTCAGTTTCATAGCGGGTGCAGAAAGCACTAAACCTCAGCGTTTGTGAGCACATGGAACTTAGACAACGAGTCTTCCACAATGACAATATGTTGAAGCTCCACCATCTAATTCGCACAATCTTATTTTCTCCCCACTGACAAGCTTAAATAACAGAAAATAAATGAATGAAGCTTTGTCGGGTAAACCCATTTTGTATTTCCGTTTCTATTCCTAAAGCATACGGGGACAAGAATGTAGCCAATTGCTGGGGGTACAAAATTTGACTATCAATCGGACCGCATCGAACAGAAACATAAACTACGTTTTTCTGTGTGAATCTAATGCAGATAAACAGCGCGAATAAACCTACCGGAAGGAAAATTTCTCGGACAGTATGTCCAGCATATCGATGATCATTCCGGTAGCATTCACCAAAACCCCGTCTGTCAGTCGTGTTCCACCAATCACAAGTGGTTCTTCCTGAACACGAATGGACATCAAAACCACATTTGCATCGGATACCAACATAATGAAATAAAATGTAGACTATATTTCACATTTAGAAACATTGCATTATAATTAGATAAAACAATCAACATGGTTTGTACTTGATGCCAAACAGAATGCAGAAACTGAAATAAACTCAAATTACGGTGCAGCTAACCCAAACAGAGGGACAATCTGCATTAGGGGATTTTTTAGAACATCATTACGATTGAAAGTTCACTAATTATTGTGCAGCAAAATACGGTGGAAGAAACCTGGCTGATTACTGAGCAGTTCATTATATATGAAAATCAGCTACAGATGTGTGTGGGGGACAGAATCTGTTTTACGGCGGGAGAAGGAGAAAGTTAAACTCAACTGAGAGTACAAAGCCTAGCTGTGCATAGACCCTTTTGCTTATCTGATGAAAAATGTTGATAAGAATGCCACCACTGCCGGTCGGATGTCACAACCTTTCAGATCCCAACTCAGAAGACGGGGGGACATCTAAATTCCCACTGTTTATTTGTTTCAGAGTGAGAGACATCGAACAGGGCACACGGCTGGGAATGTTCAATCGGAACAGAAAGTAGTACAGTACTGTTGTAATAACAACGTAGTATTGCATCATTGAGAGAAAAAGTGCAAAAAATCGAGGAAAATCTTCCAATGACACACGCAACATAAGTAGAATTCTTCAAGTTTAGCATCTGTGAAAATGGTTTAACTTATATGATAACCGCATCCCAAAGTGACAGTAAAATTCACATGTGTAGGCAGTTATATGGAAAACATGGTTATGCATAAAGCTATTATTTGTATTATGTGCATTATTGTATTACATCTACCAAAATTCAAATTCATTTGTGTTTGGATCAAGAGTCTTGATTTCCGGGGAAGGGACTGTTTGAAGTGCAAGCTCATCCACATCGAAATCTAGTCGGTAATCTACACTACTGATTTACATGTCCTTCATGAATCTGTCACAGAATATTCAGTCTTCTGACGGACCTAAGGTGAGTAATTGCTCATTCTGTGGGCTAATGTTTGTTTAATCCTTTTTCCGATATCTGTGGGTTAATTAGCCATAGTCCATAGTTTATTTTTTCTAACTCATATGTACGGTTTCTTCCAGTGATCTAATCCCATATGTCTGTTGATTTTGACTGTTGATAATAATAACAGAATTCATTAATTACAGTTGCCAGTATCACAACCGCCAAATTTTCAGTCTGCAAACTAATAGGAGTCTACTTTTTGGGTATATCTTGATCNTGATCACATTGATCCGTGTGGCGCAAAAAATGATGAAGCACACCTATCCAATCTGAAGAGGCATTTGAGCCGGTGAGCATCACGCCCGTAATCGTTTATTTACTTCCTGGTTACAGTTATATATTTAAGTTTCTCTAGCTCCTAAAAAGATGCTGCCCGCAGTCCGGGTAGCTGACCACCCAACATACCCAACTGCTCAGTTTTATTAGTTGCACAATAAAACTTCTGTATTAAGAAGAGCACTTAGATCAATCTCAATGATAATAAATTATGCACAAATCTCTTGGGATGTGAAGGACATCCATCAATCCGTTTGGTCTAATTAATGTACCTTCGTGTAAACTCGCGTTAACAATACCAGAACAATCGGCTAAAGTGGTATTACCACTGCAATACGTGAGAGGTTGAAATAATTACAAACAAACAGAGCTGACATTTTCGAAATGAGTCAAACAGGACGTCAGTATGCAAACGTCCAAGTTTGTTTGGCGGATTTGAACAGAAAAATCCATTTCAATGCAGTCTGGAGGAAAATACGCTGTTTTACGTGCCAATATTCAAAAGAGACAAGATCAAGTTATTTGAAAATGTTTGGATTGCACAACCAACTAAACCTACAGAAAGAATGTCTTATGAGGCTGATTTGGTATGTTCAACTCCCAGTAGCGAATTGCTTGACGAGCTCACTAGAACAGGTGCAACACAATCGACGAAACGCACTTCATCTTGTGAAAACCGTGTGGAAACCAAATTTTGAAGGAAAGCTTTTGAAGTCACTCGAGGTGACCTTTCTTTTCACAAACATCTGATTATTTTACCTAGTGCTGTGTGTATTCATGCACCTGTTCGTGCGGGACTAGGCGCATTGGCCTTACTATCAGGCACCTGCCCGGTCGCGTTTGTGGTTTGGTTGATCATCGGAATAACCCAAGCAATTGCGAGCCACGTTTACTTGCACTATGTTGAATCTAATCATATACAGATATGGCAAACGCGCTTAATTCAATTTAAAACATCGAAAGTAAGCAATCCGGAGAAACCAAGTAGCGCATCCTATTTGCAGCCGAGGTGGTGAGCATTTGCATCAACGGTTTCTCTTTGTGTGTTCAAAAGCAGTTTACGCGAGCGTTTAAACTCCCTTGATCATCTTCATTTAACTAACAAGTCAGCAACCGCTCGTCACTACTATGATCGATGGCACGCACACGTACAGGCAATCGAATTCTGGTCTAAACCATCATTATTGTGTCGCGTTATTCTTTCTCTGGTACAGTTAAGTGCATTGATTTTTGTATAGTGTAAGGATTACGGATAAATGAGAAGGAGCTTATTTACCACTGTATGTTTTCATAAAAGAGAAAATAAAAGTAGTAGTGGTCTAACGAAAAAAGTAAAACAAGAAATACTCTCACTTTTATTCAAAGTCAGAAGTTAGGGGACATTCGAATCAGTTACAAGTACTGTTGTACAAGTGTATTGCTTATGCACAGAAGCCGCCAAATTAAGGTAACCGCATTATTCGGTCGACCGTATGCATTGACATTACTCCTTACAAATGCCTTCACCAATTTAAAAATATAAAGAGCGATTTGAGACGCTGATAAATAGGGCCCCTTGAATTGTTTACTTATCCAGTGTCACTAACACCGTGAGAGCATGATTCACTATCTTTCATTAATTCCGCTTGATTTCATTCACTTTCCAAGTCGATTATAGTCAATTCAATAGCTTTATATGTTAGTTTAAACGCAACAACTCTCGCATGAAACATGTGCCTGATATAACAACTTACAGATTACTGGCGGAATTAGGAAAAGGAACAACACGTTGATAGACAAGAAGTGAAACTATATCTTTTCTATCATTGTACCGTCTGAGTCTTACTGTTTGACAGCTTGGAGTTGCTTCAAGCAGCTACAAATCCAGAAGCTCCATCTTAATTTTAGGACTGCAGTTTAACCCAAATATTTAACAGAATCTTGCGTACTTAAGTGTGCTGGATGGTGATCGAGGAATTAGAGATACACTAAGACCGGGACAGGATTCATCTACGCATTTGGAGCACTCAGATAAAGTGAGTTTTGATTCAAATCGATCATAAAAGTCTTAAATACGATACGGTTTGCTGGAGCGTTTTAGAGTTCCCAACCGCCGAGCAAGGGGCTACATCTTGACATGAAATTGTATTTATCTTGAGATTCAGAAAATGAATAAATGAGTGAATTATCAATAAAGCAGAAAAAGGAGGAAAGTTCTCCATCGCGGTAAATTGGTCACTGGATCTCGAGTCCCTTGCAAAGTCTGAATCAAGTTTCACTACTCAGACAATCGGAATCTGATGACCCTGATTTTTATCGCACCGGTTTTGTGAAAAATCTCTTACGTGATCCAGTGGGCTTCACCGGAGTAAAATAATCAATACAGTCTGTTGATGAATTCCATATGTTTTCTATTAGATGCTGCATGCTTAATCTACAGATTCTCCAACCAACACCGGAAGTTGTTTTGATGTTTTGCACAAGCTCCTCGTTCTATGTTCAACATGGCGTTCACTGCAGGTACATTCAGACGTCTACAGGACCTCACCATATGGGTTAGTAAATGATTCTCAATAATCGTTCCTCTATATTATTTCTCTTAAAGGAGTAAATTCTGAATTCACCGTCTCTAGGCTTCTGAGCACTGTTGCTGATGGCTAGACAACTAGCTTGATTCATATATACTGAAGTGGGACCAAACTGTGAGTGTGCATACTGCCTCAGCTACCTACAATAACAAGACGTACATCTTCCAATGCTATCATCGTTCACCCAGCCCAGCCCACCCCCACACATCAGGAAAAGCGACAAAATCCTCCGTTTTTCGAAGAACCGAAGTAATTTTTTCATTCTTCGTGATTACCGGGTAAGTGGACGTTCTACTGAGCCGCCGACCAGACGGAACTATGCAACGCGCTACCCCCAGGAGGTCATCGTGAAACAATCAGTACATCCATCTCAAAAGTTATGTGCCTTTGGAACGGAAAAGAAACCTGATTCAGTGCTTAGCTATCAGAGCGCGGAGAATAGATACATACGATACCGGGGATACAGAATTGAGGTTTATCGGAGAGGTTTTCCTTCACAATGGATACCCAAAGCGATTCGTGGACAACATTCTGAGACGTCACCGGTTGCCAAACAAGAACACTACCGTTGAGAAGAAACTGATTTACATATCACTACTTTTCAAGGGTGATACAACTGCAGAGATGGTGACACGTAAACTAAGTACAGTTGCGGAAAAAGCGCTCTCCGCAGCAAACTGCTCTTTGTGTTCATCTCCAGGCCACTTTTGTGCTTTCAACTCAGGGATAAACTGCCTGTTTCTGCCGTCTCTTTTTGTGTGTACTTATTTACCTGTTACTGTGGGGCAAGGTATATTGGCCGCACGAGTAAACGTTTATCCGAACGAGTCCGTGAGCACCACCCGGCCTGGCTGAATAGTGGAGTAATTAAGACCCTTAACAGCTCGATCGTTTCACACCTGATTGAATCAAACCATATGGTTAATGGGACCGAGGCGTTTCGACCCCTCTACTTAGTTCGCAGTCGTCGATCTAAGAGGATTAGGAGTCGCATTCTGGCCACGGTGGAAGCGATCGGAACCAGCCTACACACAGCCCCCTCAGCTCACAAAACAGTTCGTAAGAACACTTGATTTTCCATGGACAGCACCTCACACGACACCACCACCAACCCCTTATGACCGAGACCAATACGTATGTGTGAGGACCAAAGTGTGAGCAACATCCGGTAACGGAACTGGAAGGTTGATTATTTCTTTTCCAACCTGTCATGATTTCTCCCACCCTTCCCTTTTAAACAGTTTTATATAATTGTTGAAATTGTTGTTTGTCAGGTTTGAAGTGCGTATGTGGATTGTGAAAAGTTCAGTAGCCTCCGTGGGATTCGAACCCACGCATGGACGCCGCCTACGCTTTGTATGCGCATCCTCGAATCCCATCGAGGCTACTGAACTTTTCACAATCGACATACAAAGTTTGATATAAATGGTAATGTATTAGTCTGTAGATGAATCACCGAGAACGAACTTTCTCGCTACTCTGTGTTTCCTTACAATGTGTAAAGATGTTATATTTGGACCATTGAATGGGTATTGTTGAGCATTATTCTTCTTTACCTGATTGAATAGAGATACTTTTCAAAAATTCGTAAATAGAAAGCCGCATATTGCTATAATACAGTCACGCATTCTGTGCTATACAGGAATCACTTGGGATTTTCAGTCATACTTATATGTCACTTGGAAAACCACACGTTTACACCACTAACTTACTTCAATCACTCCGGCACGAATCTCGCGATCGGGAAATCCGTGAAACTGATTCGCGAAAAGCCCGGAAATGATGGTTTTCTGTAGAATTCGATCTCCAAGCGGAGTCAGAGTTAGCTTACCCGTGGTGCTTAAATCGGCCGTGGCGCGGAACTGTTTTGTTCCATTCTCGAGTACTTGTAACGAGTAAAATTTGTAGCTATCAAACGATGATTCAAACACCTAGGAGGAAAGGAGTTACAAAATAGAGATGATCATAAAAGTAAGCAAAACAAACATTAAATGTTTTTAAGGGCAGCTGGATGCAAATGCTTATTTTATAAAAGATGTTGTCTAATTAAAATTACCTAATCAATCTACAATCTTTGCTGGATTACCCTTAAAACTGGATGATAATACCACCATAGGAGGTGTAAACTAAAAATACCTATGGTAATACTGTTTTTTGTGTGCAAAACTGGTGCAGAATTTGTACACCACCAACTCCAGATTTATCACCGCGGACTGTTGAATACTTATTGTCCTTTCGTGATCCAAGCGTCTTCTATTGTTCTCTCAAAACGTGGTAACAATGAATTCATTACCGAAAGGACATAAGTGCATGCGCAGCAAGTTTTACAGCCATCTGAACTCCACTTCAAAAGATCAACGTTCTATCTTAAAACGACTTATCTATGAACTGAAATCAGACGTGACGAGGAAACTGACCTCTTTCATCCAGTTACGCGTTATCACACCCCGATCGTAGATATTGTGAGGGGCTTTGTAACAGTCCAACGGTTTCACATCATCATGGTGCTCGTTTATCAACCGTGCCCAGATGAAAATGAACACCGATTTCATAATCCACAATACGCGTTCCTGCAAAACACACCAAAACAGTTTCTACAGTTTATCTCACGGTAAATGGAATACCATGAGCGTATCAGGAACGCACGGGAAAAATAAGGAACAGCGACCAATATGTATCTGAAATGAAGTTTGCTTATGTATCTCTATCATAAAACCGACCGAAAAATGAGCTCTGAAAAACACTCTAATCCGGTATCATTTTTTCTAACGTATAATATTATTTATTCACTTTGAAATAAAATTTATTTTTGTCAGAAATGGAAACAACAGCGCAGTATATTTTTATTGCCAATATAATTTCATCCTGCAGAGCCGGAGTGTCACTGGCAGCTAAAACTCCTTGAAATCACTCTTCAGCTGTTTTATCTCCATAACAAAAGTTCAGCAGTGTACATTCACTAGGATGCAAGCCGGACCATGACAGCCCAATGCACTAACCAATGCCACACTGTGGTGGCATGGTAACGGTTCCCGAAATTAAGAAGTGACTCAAAAATAACACTTGAGGCTACAAATGCAAAGAATTAGTTGAAATCTATAGCGCATACTTGGTGAAAGGCAAAAACTGAGAAAGCGGTCGTGTGGTTACAGAAGATTTTCCAGGTCCTTCAGTTTGCTTTTACCGCACGGTGAATAAAACAAACCTCGGTCGAAACGGCTGTTCGTTGATTCAAAATGTGCCTTGTACCGTACTTCCCCATATTCATCCGAAAATTTCGAATTGTCCAGTGCATTGCATAGGTTGACTGAATGCTATAGCACTAACCTGGAGCAGCTGTACAAAATTAAGCAAAGCAGTCGAAATACAAAATCTATCATCTTTCACTGAGGCCATATTAAGTTTGAAAGATAAATCCGTATTGCTATCACAAACGGCATTAGGGTAAAATGGTTAATCCCTTCGGTCTGTTATGTTTCCGGATCGCCCGGAGCGAGAGGAAGAACAAAGACCGTCTGATCGTCGGAACCGTGTACGTCCGAATGAATGCGTCCGCACTAAACCACATGATAATCATGACATCACAAAAGGTCAAGGTCAGTGACACTGTCTGTTCGCCTGCTGGCCATTGGCACCCTTAACACGGTCCTTTAAGCCATGTCTATTCTACTCAATAATCTAACTCTTAAACGTCTTGGAAACCGCCAGTTCTCAACAATCTCCTCATTGCATTGGAACTACATGTGTCAGACATGAAGCTCGAAGCCCAAAGAGTGGCAGTTTTTAGCTTTTCATGGTTGTATAGAAAGCAAAAATGATGATGGTCAGTTCTCTTAGTCTCCACGCTCGGTCCAAGTTACTTAGTTACTGCGTTTTGTTTGCATGATCATGGAATACTCAATGTGAGCGTTTTATTAATAACAGTTCTTCCAATGAGTATCAGGGGAATGCTTAGTCATTAGACGACGCCCTCAGTATTCACAACCAAGAAAAGTTGTAGTGGCTCTAGTTGCACTTTAGCAATTACCATTGTATCGAAATCTTTGTTTTGACGAGATTATTCTTTGGGCAAAATGTAATAAAATCAAAACTGTCTACTGAGGTTACTTACTGGAATATCCAGTAAATCAATCCGGTGCTTCTCACGGATATCTTGAGGGAGCCACTGCAGAGCCATGGTCCAATCTTCATCATTCAGATACGGGGTGTACCTGATGAAACCCATGTTGATATACTGAGTGATGTTCGCAGGTAAAGCTTTGATAACCTTAGCGACAGGCATTTCCAGTCGCTCAGCAAAAATCCACACGTGTTTCATGAACAACCTTTCGTGTTGAGCAATCTTTAGGAAAAATGAATCAAGGTCAACTAAATAAAAAAGAAGACAATAAATAAACTTCACTATTACTTCAGATTTGAGAATATGCCCATTATGAGATCAGAACGCATGTTCAGAGCGGAAGGTTTTTTATCAATGAATCATCTACTAGCCACTATAGATCATACAAGTAGTTGGGGTGTATACTTGCAGTAGGTCAAACGTCACAGTGCTGGGATGGGATAGGCGAGGAAGGATAGGGGTGCAACTTATGGGCCGCATTTGACAACACTGAGTCTGCACTTACGTTGCAATGTGTGATTCGGGCGACTGATCTGCGGCCATAGCAGTTAGATGATGTTAGCAAACCACTTTATATTCCAAAGGATCGGAGTTACTCAATGACAAGCAGAACGTCGTTACATAAGTGATGCTTTGACTAACCGAACGTGTGAACTATTTAGTTAACAACAACAAAAACAACAATGAAACATTTTACCATGATTATTATTCTACCCCTTTCAGGTTCACGAAAGGTACAGTTACTTATTCATGCATTTATTGCATGAGAAATGTTAAAACACCCACCGGGTTTTGCTAAATCGTTTGGTAATCAAATCAGCCAAATTGATCAAATTGGATATGTTCAAGATACAACTCGTTTCCGTAAGCCTTATGAACTTTAATTATGGCTCCAGGAAATTTATTTATAGCTGAAATTTTCTCCTCATGTAGAAGGGGGCTCTAAACGGTAATGACCGCACCTGAGGAAAATGATAAAGTGCAGCGCAAATACAGAATGCACCGAAATTTCAACATGCATGACTGGTATACCACACTAAAGCACAATCCTATCTATGTGTTGGATTGTCTCGACTGCGAAGTTGTTCCACTACCAAAGGATAATGGCCTTTAATCTGTCGACAGGACAGAATATCTTTCCACACGCGATAATCCTCAGCGCTAGTAGTTTCCAGAACCTCTGCTTGGGATCAAAAGCAGTTCGTGGACTGGTCCGCTCGCTGTCCTGAGGCTCCTGAGCAACATACACATTCTGAAAACATGAAAATCCAAGGACAAGGCTGGCAAGTCCTCATGTGAATTTCTGGCATCAAATCCTTACACCACGCACTTATTACTGTTGCTATAGAGGGTCTGAGTCGGAACTTCATCAACAACGGAACCTCACTCTCTGCCCTACCTAATGAAAATGGAATGTGCATGACCAAGCCCCTTGCTGGCGTTGCCCCTGCCGAATGTTATCAAGAGTTGACCCGAATAAATTCAAGCAAGTCCAGTGACTCTGATGGAGTCTCATCCATTGTCCTAAATGAATGTGCTGCTTTTCCTGCCCCAGTACTGTGTGAACTTTTCAACAAGTGTATTTTGCAGCAAAGTTTTCCCAACTGCTGGAGAATAGCCTCAATCACCCCATTACTGATGAAAGGCTCCTCAAACGTTCACTCCATTGCCTGCACCTCAGCTGTTTTGACAGTGTTTGAGTGGCTCCTGAATAAAATCCCAGCCACACGGTTGGTGACCCCCACCAGTATGTATATACCCATCCCCGAGGTACCCTGAATGCCGTCGCTTATCTCTCCCACTTCGTTTAATCTAACCTTGACAAGAGCAACAAGGTTCTCCGCATGTGTTTTCTAGATTGTAGTGATTTCCTCAAGACAACTGATGGGCGGATATTGCAAAATACCCTCTCTTCAGCCGACGTTCAACCTCCTACGATTGAACTCTTGGCCAACTATTTCTCCAAGCCCCAGCACCTCACACACTACTAAGGTCGTACCTCTTCACTGCTGCCCTCTTCGTAAGGCATACTGCAAGGTGCTATTTTATCTCATTTTCCATTTTCCGCTTACATTTCTTCTCTGTCTTCAAGTAATTCTTCTCTTTTCGGTAATTATGCAGACAATATAATATTCAGAATCCACTACCCCAATCCATAGTATCAGACCACTCCACAAGATACCCTGTTAGAGATAATAGAGTGGTCTTAACAAAGAAACCTCGATATTGACCCCTAAAAATGTAATGACGTAATTTTTCCTTTTTTAAAGGTCAAAATTATGATGAACTGTCAAATGCCAGCCCACCTTTATCTATCTTAAATGACCAACTGGATCAACAACCGTCTTTCAAATATCTTGATGTTATTTTCAACCGTAACGTCAGCTGGTCTGATCGTATCAGTAACGTATTTCTGAAGGTCAGCAGGCTAACTTTATGTGTTTTACGTCTTGAATCGTTTTCTATCTCAAATAATCTCGTAAGGCGTTTTGTTTTTGTTGGTATTTGGCCCCAGTGGCTTTTTGATATTTAGTCTTACATCAAGGAAACATCTGGTGTGGTACACCACCTCAAGTCCGGAAAAACATTCTCCAAGAAGATTTTATCTGACATTTCCCATCCCCTTTATTTGGCTCTTAGTCATTAACTTTATTATTCATCCACCGGTTTCAGTTAGAAACTTATGAAGGCAGGCACTGAGGCTTACATGTGCTCTATTGTCCCGTATCTCACAAGATTTCTCACAAACCATGAACTCGTTGCAGAAAATCTGCGCATAATGCTAATCTAAACCAATGTTAAGCACGATTACATGCTATGTTTTGTGACGTTGCTGTCCGTTTCACTTCTTAATTGCCATAGTCTGTCCTTCTACTTCTTTCTTGTAAACATTCCGTTGCTTGCTTGCTTACAGACTGGTTATAGCGATCGAAAAGCTGATACCTGGCAAAGAGATCGTTATTCCACCCACGGTCAAAGGGCAGTTGTTGTTGGCCAAAAATAGTATCAAAACGTCTCTTCGGAATCGCTCAAAAACACTAAGGTTTATCATAGAACGAATACAGATCGAAGAACAGAACTCTGGGGCAGAATCAGTGTCGTAATGAAGCAGTTACAACAGCCATTGAATACTGATAAACACGAAGGTTAGAGAGCGACCAGTAACGAGTTGAACAAAACCGAGCTGTGTTTAGGCAGCACTTCCGTTGTCTGGTACGCACAAATGCACGACCAAAATCATTTTTCGAACAATATGTACAATCGTCCGAACGAGCAAATGCAGGGCACTCATTAGGGAATACAATTCATTCGAACAAATGAATTCAGCCCGAGCATCATCGGTCTAGGTAAGCATAGTGAGTTTCTGTGCTTCCATTGTCATGTTTGTGTCTGCGTACATCAGCCGGGTGTATCAGTGAACAACGCCGCATAAACTGGACCAAATCGAACATGACATTCATTAAAGAAGTACTCGTTGAAGCAGTTAAAAACCAAGGTAGCCTATGTTCGCTACATGTTGTAACAATTAATGTGCTTGATGCTGTACACAAGCTTTTCAGAAAGTGAAAAATAATCCGCTTTCATCTTGATATCGGCTTGGTTTTCTATTTTGTTTATTTAAAATCAGGAAAATATTCGTGAATCAACTTGGCAACAAACGTACCGTGTTCAGTTCGTGTTGAATATGAGGTTCCGCGGTGAATATGTAGGCATAGGTTGTCACTTCTCCACAAGTATGATTACCGCCCAGCTCAAACAAGACAGTGTCTAGAGATGGTGTTCCCGGGAGAGTTGGATAGATGGTGCGATCCCGACCGCGATTCAGGCTATACACCTTACTTGGATAGATATCCTGAGAGTAGCGCCCGCCCAGAGCAGACTGGGACAGTGCGAGCAGCATCCGTGCAGGAGTGGCTTCAAAACGAGGCATAAGAAAAAAAATGCATCGTTGCATTATCAGATTCATAATGCACGGATATGCTGTTTGCACAATAGGAATTGTTTGCCAGTGAAATTTGTGACGCAAATACCATTGTTTAACACCCCCCCCCCGTTTGAATTAGAATGTCGAATGGGTCTCCGAATACACTTACATATTTGGTATCATCTATTTAACCGACGAGTTTGGAATTTCGAAAATAATGGAAAACGCGTTGGCAAGGACCAGGGCACATAGATAATAAAAAACATCACGGTTACTCGATCTGTTTATACAGTAATATTGGTTGGTGTCAATTTGGCTTACATAATCGAGTGCCGACTCACAAGCCACGAAATACTTACTCCAAAAGACGCCCATGTCATGCGCATGAATATAAGGTTGGCAGCTATTGAATTAAAAACGCATACTAGTAGAAGTCATGCGAATTCACAAATACCATGATCAGTGTGGTGCTGTTCTGTGGTGGATCTCATTTTTTGCTTACTCCCCACATGCCAGACGCCGTTTCCTCGTGATAAAAATTATTATGTGAATTCCAGCAAAGATCATTAGTCTATTTGTTTCATTCTTGTTGCAGCGCAAACTAGATTTGTGCCTCAAGCAGTGCTAGAACTACCTCTATATAAGTGAAAATCGCTGCTAATAAACACCATAAAAACTGTTAAAAAATAGTTAAATATTATTGCAAACACTGATGATGTCACCTCGGCTGGTGATGAAACGTTTGCAAACAAAATGCCAAGCTCGGCGAACAGGCGAAACAGAATATTATTGCAAGCTCAATGCTTAGATTTATGCAAGCAATCGCTAGTAAAACCAACCACTAGCAATACAAGATACTGCATTTCATTCCAGGTTAGAATCAGAAAATCGTTCTTAAATATATTAGACACAGACTGAGCCGATTCTATCGTCCTGTTGAGTCAAACCTAGTTGTGCAAAACTTAATTCCGCGCATCAGTCTAAAACTAGGGGGGAGGCACATAGTTAACCACGATAACCGTACTACGTTTGGAACCGTCTGTTTACAAGCGGACTCATTCGATCAACCGTACACGAAAAACAACGGTGGAAGCAAACACAAAGTACTCTATTTGTATGCAAGGAAGTAGCACTTAGATCTGGTTGATTTATCTGTTAGTCAAGCTTGTTGTCTATCCCAAGTATTCTTTTACAACCGTAGTACGATTTTTGTTATTTTTGACCAGTTTAAACAGGATTTTCAGGTTAAGACATTTTGCAGTTCGTGTCATTTATCAGTCTAGTCTGTAATCCCAGGAAACCGCTGCACACTCCCTCTCTCGCTCTCTGAATATGACCTTTTGGAACAAAGGTATCAGGGTGTTAGATGCATTGTTTTAAAAGGGAACACTCAAAAAGTACTATCTTTAGCAAATTATGTTCATCGTGCTAACTAACACGTCGGTCCATTTGTTAAAATAATTCCTCGATGTGGCTTTTCCATTTGAGCCAGCTTCTTCAGCATCAGCGCGACATAGTCCGGTCGAGGTTGTATCCAAATTGTGGTCGTTTCATTCCCTTTCTCATCCCAGTCGATATCCGGACACATTGGTTGTGCTATGGCCACATGAATCAACCTGTGCTTTGACGTGGTCACCTCTATCAGTCGAGCCACGACGCAGCTGGTCAGACTGATGATCAGACGCACGTTGGAGCTCATCATCTTGCACACTGGAACAAGCACCGGACGGTGGTATACGGGAAAAGAAAACAGAGTATAGAAGGTCTAAAACCGTAAGTTTTATAAGCTTGTGACCCTGAAACCGAAGGTGCAAAAAAGAAGTGCGTTTGGTTATATGCATATTAATATATATA